TTCAATAAAATATAATGCTAAACAAACACGAAATCTAAGTAATACTATAGACGTATAGTAGTAGTACTAGTAGTAGCAGGAGTAGTAGTACTACAACATAGCTGTGCTGCGTGCACAAACAACATGAATAAGAGAGTTACACAGATTACGGGATACCTGATCCCGGTCGACAGTTCCAGACGCTACACTACGTGAGTGCAGCGATATATACATGGTTGTAGCATGACGTCATGATCCGAAACATCACACCATGTGGGGTTATAACAGATATACGGCTGGTGCATTTCCACATAACGTCTAGTGCCAATTCTCAGTGTAAACACCCATCAATCAGTCAGGCTTGCCGTGTCCTAAGATGGCTGCGAGAATTAGACTGGGACGTCACGATTCCAGATAGACTGGTACGGACGTTAATTAGGCGAAGTATCTTTCGCTACACTAAAGTTATAGTTAGTCCAGCGTGTGAAACTTTCCACCGCGGGGCAGTCTACGCCTATTCGCCGTTCTTTCTGTGGGAAATTCTTTGGAACATCCCTCGAAGAGAGCCTCGTCGCGCCATCTATGGGACAGCATATGTACGAGAATAACTTCAGGGCGTGAAATTAAATAAATTATAAATCGCTTTTCTACACGAAAACATAACGCGCCAACCAAACAAATTAGCAATTACGACCATTGCATTTATTCTCGCCCTACGTGCACAGTCGAAAGGCTTCTGCAATCACCAGAACTCCTCAATTGACCGATTACAGGCCCATTTGACATAACCGGTGAAATTGTTCTAAATACAGAGCAGCGATTTGGATGTAATGGCGCCACCAGGTGGCGCTGTTCGCGCTTCGCGCGGATATCCGGCTGCAGATCGTCGAGTTGGGATGTCGAAGATGGGGGTCAAAGGTCAAGACAAGAGGTGTAAACGAAGGGGGAACATTCCCTCCAAGTAAGGTATAGGGAGGAAATGCAGAATTGCGGCACAAATCTAAACGGCTCGACCTAGGATCGCGATAGTCGGTGTATATAGCATCATGGTAGGAAAAGCCATCACTGTGCCGAAATTGGAGGTCACAGGTCAAAGGTCAATGAGGCACAGGGCAGATTTTAGACATTTTCTGAGGACATATAGTCTGACGGAGCGATTGAAAAACTCTTTTGTTTCAGTGGTGACCTACCATTTTTATGGCTTTATTGAAAGGACCATGAAATGTACTTTCCGCTGAAATGCGAAGAGTAAGTGTCGGATAACCTTTTGACCCTCAAGAGGAGGGTTAAACATTGATTTGTGTCACAATGCACCATAAAACAGGAGTTTCAGGCACTCGATTTGTATCAACCAATGGGATTTGGGAGATTATGCAGAATGCAGAAGGTTGCTGAAATGATGTGTACGCAACTGCGTATCTGCATATCTGCGCCTAACAATGGTGTCACTACGCACAACTTAAATGTTACGTTTATAACCGTAGCAACAGACCTCAGATCAGCCCAGACGCTCTGCGGCTCTTGTTGTTCTTCTTCCCGCACGGCACATAGGGGCCTACTTGCCTATGCATAAACTGCAAGTAATGCCACGAACCCGATCTGGTGCTATACTAGTCGAAGATGTATTAGTGTAGCATGTTCGTGGCGCGTGTGAGCTTTGCCATTGTATACTACGGCAAATAAAATCAGGTAGGTTCGGTCATGCGCTGCTGGTTCATCTGTAGTGATAATCGCTGATTGAGTGTCGTTTTGTCTGATCACACGAAAGCATGAGCGTGGAAACAATTATACTACAGCTATCTAGATTACTTACTATATGTACTCTTTACGTTTATCGCAGGCTCGCCGAAGACATAAATGTGCAAGTCGCGCGACCCGGGTACCTAGCTGTGTGTAGGCACGAAGAAAAGGTATCGTAGGTTATATACAGAGTTGTACTGCATTGTAAGAAATGCCAACACGTTATTCCACAGTAAATGGTGTTCGGTTTAGCAGTGAAGTGTAAAACTATATCTTCTATGTAATTCTTCGTATTTGATTCTTCTTGCAAATAACCAACAAACTAACTAAATATATAATTCAATTTCGTATCCCCATTTAGAACATTCTATCGGATATTCTCGCTCAACTGGAACTACGTTGTATGGAGCTAGAAGATCCTAGCTCTCACTACGGCACACAAACGGGTAGCATTGTCAAACTTCAGCAAGGTCAGTGGGCAGCTCAGAACATACACGTTTGATGTTGACTGAGCGCTGTTGGAACTTTTTAATTATAAAAATCATTTAATTTATAAAAAAAGTCTAATAATTAAACTTATAATTTTATAATTAAAATTATATAATACAAACAGTTTACTTATTCTATTAAAGTTGCTTAACCTCACAGCTAAATGCTTATATAGGCCTACTGTGAGCTCGTCTATGTTGCAAAAATTCACTAGAACTCATTTGTATTGCTCCTTTCATAATATTTCTTCTCAAAATCTAAACGAAAGTAGCACCACAGTGATGGTTACACATCCGGGACACAGCGGCGCGATCGTTAACAGTTCTTTTCTATGATAAAACAAGTTAAAATTCATTATTATATGTTTATTCAATACAAAATTCTGAAATTTGTTTAAATCATATATCGTTATCTATATTACATATGCAATCAGGAAACAAATATAGTATTTTCCTTCCAGGAACTATTTGCGCTGGCGCGTATGGATACTATTTAGCGTCATTTAGCACTTCGTTGTGGCAAAACTACATCGATGTAGTTATTCAAAAATAGTCATCTTCGGAGTACATTTCTGGCTCAATGAGAACATTTCGTGATGTTTGCACACTGCAAGTATGCTCACAGTAGGTCTATATAGGCCTTTTGTTGCGAGGTCTATCAATTTTAATAGCTTGCAGTGTCCTGAAAAATGTAGCTCCGTATATATGCCTCTGAGGGCTTGAGAGAGAAAATATATAGATGAGACAGAATGGAAATAGAAAGAGGGCGAGGGAGAGAGAGTGTGAAAAGATGGTCAAACAGTGCCACGAACAGAGAAGGAGATGAAAGAGCAAACAGGAAGAGACAGACTAAGGGAGAATGAGAAAGAGAAACAGAAAGAAACCAAACTAAGGGGAAAGAGAGGGGGAGCACAGGGGTGAATGAGCAGCAAGAAAGGGGCTAGGGGGAGAGCAGGGTTGGATGGGCAGCAAGAAAGAGGGGTGAGAGAGAAACAGAGAAACAAAGTAAAGGATGGATAAAGAAAATAAGATGCGAGAGAGAGTTGGACAGGAGAACGAACGATAGGGAGAGATTGCTTTATCCCCTTTCAAAAATGCACAATTCTTGCACCTAGCAGCTTTTGCTGAACTGACGTTGTCATCGACTGGAGAATACTCACCAGAGGGTGCTGGCATCCCTTTAATGAGCAGCGAGATCCCAACAGAAGAGCTAAAATCTCAAGGGTAAATAGCAATTATGAAAGTTATTTGTCATGTATAATAAGACATTTTAGCATAATCATACCCACCATAATTGTTAAACTCTGTAGGCTGTGTAAATTAAGGATATCACGCTCCGTTTGCATGACTAGATCCAGATTCGTTTTTCCTCTTAAAATTTAATTTGTGCATTTTTGCTTGTTATAAATGGGTGTGTGGTAATTTCAGTGTTGAAGAAACCGTGGGTGATGAAGGACACTTGGACGAGGAAGGAGAATTTGTTGATCGCGAGCAGCTTAGAAAACTACAAGGTTTGTATCTAATATTACTATATTGCCTGTGTATATGTATCGCGATTTTATTAAAAAACAATTATTACTGAGATAATGGCGACAAACTCGGGTAAATCCTATGTGCGTTCGTTCGTTCGTTCGTTCATTCGTTCACGTGAATGTTTCACTGCTCCTTCGTTCGTACGTTCGTTCATTCGTTCTTTTGCCATACGTGCATGCGCGAGTGTCTGGGTGTGCGTGCGTGTGCACGTGCACGTCCATATTGCCGCATTGTGAAGAGAAAAGAGAAAAACCACATTTTTTAAATTTTACCGCTTTTACCAGTTATGATTGCAACAACGTTTTTTTTATCATAACTCTCTGCTTCGGCGCTGCATCTAAACGCAGGAGTAACGCACACAAAAAGTCCAACAATAAGCAAAGCAGATGTAAACAAAGTATTTTTGTGAATATTTTGTAGCAGAGAGCGATAACTTAGGGGGGCGGTGATAAATTTTGGGAAAGTTTTATCTAGAACTCTGCATGCTTCTGACTCTGGTTTCAATCTCGTCTCTCGCATGTATAACGAAGAGCCTGATGCGCCTTCGACCTTCTTACCTGTGCATTCTTGCCTTCTCTTCAGCGCGTTTGTCGCGCTAATGATTATAGCAGCTAGACCATAACAATATATATATATATACTGTAGCGGCTGAATATAACGCCTGTCGGCACACATTTGCACCGATTCACATATTTGTTGAATTTCGTTGGGATGGGGGAGGTGGGGGTCTATGAGAAGGCTTTACCCGCACATGTGTTCGGATATATATATTCAGCACGGAAAATATATGACGAGTATTGGTGTGACTAGTAACGCTATATTTGTGCTAGCGCGCGGGTATGTGTGCGTGTGCGTGTGCGTGTGCGTGTGCGTGTGCGTGTGCGTGTGCGTGTGCGTGTGCGTGTGCGTGTGTGTGTGTGTGTGTGTGCGCGTGTGTGTTTATTTGTGTGCGTGCGTGCGTCGCGCGCGCATGGCGTGTGTGGGTGTGTATGTGTATGTGTGTGGTGCGTGCGTTGCGTGCGTGCTTGCCGTGCGTTCGTGTGTGTTGTGTATGCTGGCATGTGTGTGTGGTGCGTGTGTCTGTGTGCGTAGTGTGTGTGCGTGTGCGTGTGTGTGCGGTGTGCGGCTGCGCGGTGTGTGTATGTGTAATTTGTGTTGTGTTTTGTGGTGTGTGTGCTGTGTGCGTGTGGTGGGGGGGGGGGGCTGTCTGTGCATGTATGTATGTATGCTATGTGTGTCTGTGTGCGTGTGCGTGTGCGTGTGCGTGTTGCGTTGTGCGTGTTAAAGCATGGCGCGTATACGTGAAGCTGACACATTGTGGGGGCAAGTATACTATTATATATATTATATATATATACTCATATATGTATATATATATATATATATCAGCGGGTTAATAGCTGAGCAACATAAATAATAATTTTGTCATTATTAATCCCTGATATACAGTGAGAGAGCGAGAGAGAGAAAGACAGAAAGGTGGTGAAGAAGGAATAGCATCCAAATGTCACTTACACGAGTTGCCAGTATAATGAGAGGTTAACCATGTGCATCCTTTCTACACCTCGTATAGGGCAATTTGTCGCGAAACGGATATGAAACCCTACTCAGTGATCGTTCTTCCTTCATCCTCATCACTGACTGCTCTGGGTCAGAGGCACGGACAGTTGTCGTCGGTGCGATGCTTGTTTATGTACGCATTAGTACGTGTATTACATACAGACGTGTAGAGATACATGCATCTCACCTTGGAGTCATGATCATCAGTCATCAGAACGATTACTCCAAGATCTCACTGTGGTTCCACGAGTCAGTGGTCAGTGTTTGATCCCAGCATGCACGCGTGTTTGAACGTATAGCACCTATTTCAGTATAATATGTTCAGTACATGTGTCTGAGTGAGCCTTAGTTCGTGTGTTAGGGCCCCAGTCATGTGTTTTAGTTTTGTCCATGCGCTTGAGTGAAGTCTATGTGCTTGAATCTGGGCCGGCTATTTGAGCCTATATTCCGAAGTGTTTCAGTCTAGACCGTCTATTTCGCTGTAGTGCGCGTGCCTCCCACCTATATAATCGGTAGCTCGAACAGAATAGAGGCAATAGACCGTTAATAGAATCCGACGTTAGCAATGAAGATTTGTTGCTAAGAACCTGCGTACGTGACTTGGCGCAGTCAGTCGTTCGCACCAATGCCCTTGTCGATAACTCAGCGCACCTTTGCGAAACCTTGCACACGCCGCACGCCGTAATCCTGGCCACCCCGACATTCAATCTACCTCAGCGGCGCTAAGATTCTAACGCGACATTGGCTGCTACTGTGGCGCGGCGATATTACGTGTATGCAAGCGTATTGATCGACCTCGATCCGCACATGTTAGCTTCTGGTTCGTCGCTATACTCACTCAGATGTGCGAAGGCAGGAACGCGATATACTAGATAGCATTTACGTGCATGTGAGGTAGGAATTTGTCATTTGTCATTATCTACCCCTGATATATATATATATATTATATATCTATCTGTACCTGCGAAACACAATTCGCCGATGTTTACCTTCGCTTGCAGGCACCCTGCTTCCCCGCATTGCGTTGCGGGCGGGAAAGACGGTCCTGTCGATATACGTGGAGAAAATCGGAATTAAGAACGCGAGCGAGCTGATCGATCCGTACCTGACTGTCTCCGTGCGAGGTGCGCAACTAGACGATCGATTCACGCAGAAAAAGCGCGCGCGCCACTCCCAGTAAAGATTACTGAAGTTGAAACTTGGCAATCGTCTACGTTCTCGCATATCAAATGAATGAAATGTTCAACGCACAAGAAAAAACATAATAATAATAATAATAATAATAATAATAATAATAATAATCGTAATAGCAATATATAACCATAATAATAATAAATAATAATAATAATAATAATAATAATAATAATAATAATATCGAGGAAGATGGTTATGGATGTGTGCGACAGACATTATTGGATTTTACCTTGTGGAATCGTTACCTGACCATATCCTATAACGAGCGGATGTTATAAGTGGGAGTATTATGGGAACAGGCATGGTTTAGTCTAAAAATATAATACTCGCTCTGTGTCTAGATAAGTTAGGCGTTGCGATGACGCCTATACAGGACACTCCCGTCGCTTTGTCTAAAGACGAGACGTTCGCCTATTTCCACGTGACAGTCGAAGTTCAGAGATGCGTCGAGTATCTCCCAGCAGGTGAGACCCCACTCTACGCAGCAACACAGACGATCATTCCCACCTATACATGGTGGGGAGTCGTAGTCAAGTCGCAAGCTCCTACCGCGTGTGTCTTTGTGTCGAATAATCACCGCGGCACAATCAAATGTCATGTAGACAGGATTCAGTCGCTCTTGTCAGAATATTTACACACTGGGTTTACGGCATTATATTTCTACTATTGCTTTTTGCGATAAGGTAAGACAAGGGTATATATGTCATAATATATATATATATATATATATACGTGCATCAGACGTCATATGTACATATTTCACATTTTTTCACGGTGTCGGACGTATCATATCGCAACATACAATGTATAATACGCTATATCGTGCTGTACCAGTCACGAGTTATGAATCAATATCTTACAAATTAAAACTCGGTTCGTCTCGTGGTACGCAAAAGCGGCTGACGTCAAAAAGCGTCTGACGTCAATGGCGATATAGCAATTAGAAGCGCCTTCGTCACCTATATTTTTCTCGTCGTACTAATTTGCAACAATTACGCTCCATCTGCCGTTATAGCATTAGCAAGCTACATTTAGCCATCAGCAAATTTACATTAAACGCATTAAATATTTCTAAAACATTTCCCAGCGCCCCTAACGATTATATTATTACGGACATGCGCAGACCTGCCGGTTATAGGTGCAAAACAACGTTCACGTTTTCAGGTTTTGTTCGTAATACGTACAATTGTTTTGACTATATTGCGGGGAGGGGATGTTAGACGTACCCGCTATTACACTATTAGAATGTATTAGGTGCAGCTTATCCACTACATATTGCACGCACACACGCACAATATGCATATATATATATATATTTTTATTGTCGCGCATGATCGTGTGTACCGAATACCTTCTTGAAATTACTAAACACACGTGCAAGATATATATAATATTAATCGGCTGCTATTATAATAGCTTGTTATAAATTCGCGCAGGTTTTGTCATCTTCTTTGAACTGAAGCATTTTAAGCCAAAGAAACAAAGGAAAAGTGTCAAGTGCTTCAGCTTTCTGGAGAGCGATGAGATTAAGCAAGGACCTGTTGTCATCGAGCTGTAAGTTATCGCGGGATTTTCGCTGCCATATTCATAATATCAGGAGTGAATAAAAACAGATTATTATTCACTCCTGATATTACCTATACAATGATCAGTGTGATCCAGCATGAGCCGCTGGAGCTATTATGAAGTGACGCACATGTGGCACAATCGCATATTAATGACGTTAATACGTCAATTCGTATCAAGAGAGTTTGACGTAAGCGAAAACGTGTATCTCGCGCGCGCGTGCGTGCGTGCGGTCGTGTATTAGCATACATTTACTCGATCGCGTTTTTACGCATTCGTGCGCGCTTGCGTGCGTGCGTGCGTTTGCGCACGTTACGCCTGCGCTTTCTAGTCCAAGGCGGTGTGTTACGACTAACGCGGTCGATAACGATAACGATAACTAACGGTAACGATATAATAACGATATAATAACCGATAGTAACGGTAACGTTAACTAACGATAACGAGCGCGAGCGTGTTTCTTTGCGTTGATCGCGTGTTGCTTTGTGTTGCATTGCGTCGATCGCGCGTTCCATCGCGTCGATCGCGCGTTGCATTGCGTCGATTTCGCGTTGCATTGCGTCCATCGCGCACCGTGTCGAAATTCACCACCGACATTGTGTCCGTTGACGTGCGCGCAGCTATAGAAAGCCGACCAACTACCGCCGCTCAAACCTCAAGCTGCTCACGACGAAGCCACTCTATCTGAACCTCAATCTCAGTCTACACCATTCACCGGCAAACTAATCAAGGCGAATAGATCAGCAGCCATTCAGGATTCTTTCACCGAAGCGTACGTGACTGCCGACATGGAAACCCACCGGATCGTTGTTGCACGGTTTCAGGTCAGTACGAAGATTATTGCTGCGGCAGTTCTCATATCTTAAGTAATTAATTTTCTCCTGTGTGATTACGTAGGAATGTAGGATGATCTGTGCGAGTATAGATGTAGGAACAGGGTAACAGAGTGGGACGCTGTAATAGTAGACGCTGTAATAGATTACTCAACTAGTATCGTAATTAAACGTAACACCATCATGTCACTTGTTGACCAATTTTGTTTGGAGTGTCAATCATAAAAGGTACAAAACTCGACTCCACATCGAACTGCCATTATATATATATATATATATATATATATAATATGATACAATTAGAATATATATTATATTATATACGTGCTGACACACACAGAGGCGTGCATGCGTGTGTGCATGCGTGGGTCAGGGGCGTAGCCGGGGTGGGGTGGGGGGGGTTCTCTCCCGCGGGATCGGGAGTTCCGCTCAAATCACGAATGTATAAAAAAAATTGTTTAAACCCTATTTCGAATTCCAAATACCAGTGGTGGTACGTAGAGTATTAAGAAAAATTAACAAAATTAGCAACAATGAAAAGTTCCGTCGATCCTCATTATCGATTGCTTCGCAGCCTTGTGCAGCACACATTCATTCACAGTGCAGTAGCCATATTATAATTTTAGTGGGTGGATACAAACATGTACGTACAGTTCGAATGACAGATTCTGCATAATTAAAGCAAAGGTCGCAGACAGTAACGAACACACCACACGAAGCGTAGGTAGGACACGTAGTCACATGTAACAATCAATCCTCGAAATCACCTCAAATGAATGAATGTCAAAAGTGAGTTTTCACACTGCCAGATTATCGAGAAATACCAGAAATCTGGTCCAGAAGTCAGTTATGTGACGAAAGGTTACTCAAAAACCATTAGTTCATGTCTAAAAATACTATTTCAGTGCTGGGAAATCGCACCTGGAGCCATAAACTTTTCAAAAATTCCCCTCCTGTTTCGATAGTATAAAGTTCCACTGCTGTTGTAATAAGACCCCCCCACACACACACTTTTTAGGGGGCTACGCCCCTGTGGGTGCGCGTGTGCGTACGTGTGAGCGTTTACGCGTGCGCGCGCGTGCTCGTACAACTACAGTGACGTGCAGCTGGTTTGCGCTCACCGCGAAATTATTATTCGATGACAAGTTGCATGCGTAGATGTTGTTAATCCTACAGTAGCTATGCGACAGCCGACGGAAATCGGATTTGACTGGCTCACTATGAATGAGACGTGATGCGAAATATTACATACAAAATATCCATTTGCTGGAACTGGCTAACTTTTATCGAATTACTTGTTTTATCAATTGGTTTACGAAATGTCTGAGGTAATTTAACACATTCAAACATCGTTTCAGTATTATTTTTCGTCAAATTGGGGTTAATTGTTATGCCATGGCAATTTTTCTGTTCAATATCAATTATAGAAATCAATATATAATTAATATAATAAATATAAATAAAT